GGGTATAGGTATAAGTGTAGGGGTATGAGGTAAAACTTCCTGTGTTAGGTGGGCTAGGTAGGCCCCTTGGGGTTCACTTTAAGAAAGATAGTTGCGCCCTGACTAACAGCAGTTGCTTTTGGCCTAGTGGTAAGTGCTTGATCCTACATGTATATCATATGTCATTTATGTATATTATTTCTTTTGGAATTTTATATATAATATGGCTCATAGGCTCTTATGTGTATCAGTATCAATTACACAATGTATTATATATTTTCTAGACATATATTATATGGGAATGTTACACATTATCTCCTATTTCCCGTTTTGCGCACATCACAGTCGTTCATCCATATTTTGTCACTCTTTTTAAAACTTTTTAAAATTGCTTTTTTATTTATCAGTTTTTGTTGATCTATTTTTGTAAAGATTGGACATAAAGAACATGAGATGATCTATTTTCGTAAAAAAAAAAAAAAAATCTAAATCACACAATGATTGATATCTCCTTTATGCTTCAAATGAAGGGTTTCTTATTCGAAATACTTTAAAACAATATAACAATGATTAAAAATAAAGATTAAGAATAGTTTTTAAACAAGCGCCACATTTTTGAAATCGGATCCATTGTAGTTAAAATACGTCGCATTTACGCATTTGATATTTTTTTATTGTTGGATCAAGATTGAACGGTCTAAATTTAAATATAATTTTTTATTTTTATTAAATAAAAGATATCTATTACTAATATAAGAAAATAGATAGCTGAATCTATTACAGTTTTATCCTAATTTAATCTTATCAGAGACCTAATTTCATGGTTATAAACGTCAATTTGTGTCCCTAATTATACCAATATTTCGAAGCATTTAATAACAATATATAATGCATTCTAAATTAATTCCTTTTGTCTGCTGCAATATATTAAATATTTTGCGGCTATATATTAAATATTTTGTCATATTTGAGTTTTTTCAAAAATTACTATTACTATCTATCTTTAGTATTGTCATGATTCAACGTATCAATTTATGCACTTTTGAATTTTAACATATCAACAATTCCTTCATAGTGCCAAAGTTTTCAGCCTTGCAGTTACATAAAAGAGTAAATGTTCGACATTTTTTTCTTCTTCTTCTTAAACTGATTTTTTTTCCCAAATCAATATCATTCACTAACAACTTTCTGAAGCAATGTTATAGTCTCACATGTTTTATAATAAAAAATATTATTCTCTTTTTTTAATGTATAGTTTTTAAATTATGTATAAATAAAATAGTATTTTTTTATTTAAAATGAGAAATAAATATATTTTTATTGTTGTTTAAGTATATAATATGAGTCTTTATTGTTAAACAATAGAGTAATACTTTCTCTCACCAACTACTGATATTATTAAATTCTTCCTATTATTGGTATCTTAAATTTATATTCTTTTTGAAGCAACGATATACTCTTACATGTGTTAGATATTTGAGTATGATAATCTTGGATAACTTCGAGAAATCGTGTTCGTACACTTTCCGAACAAAGTATATTCGATCTTATTATTGTCTGGGTTCACAAAATCTTTGTGGGGATAATTCTTGAAGAACAATCTGCTTCTGACAATAGAGAATAGATCAGGAATGTAGAGAGAAAGTATGATTTTTGTTAAGTCTTTTAAACTGAGGCCAAATGACTCCTTATATAGGAGATTAATAACAGAAATCGAAAAGACACAACTGTTCAGAAAACGGTTAAGTCGGTTGGAAAAGGGTTCAACTGTTCAGAAAACTTTTGAACGGGTTCAACTGTTCAAAATTTTCGAACGGGGCGCTGCCCCGCACCCTGCCGAGGCTTCGCCCCTCGGAACCCCTTTTCAATTATTCGCGTTCAATTACACGTTGGCTCGACGAGCGTGCACTCCGCACTACCTTAACTCGTTTCCAAGTTTAACGCATAATTGCATCGACCTACAGTAAATCACATTACTACTAAAATACATTGATGATACTAAAATCACCAACAACATGTCTTATAATAAAAAAATAATACTCTTTTATAGTTTTTAAATTATGTATGGCTAAAATAATATTTTTTATCATTGAATGAGAAATAAATAATATTTTTTGTTGTTTAAGTATATAATGTGAGTCTTTATCGTTAAACAATAGAGTAATTCATTCTCTCATTAACTACCGGTAGGGCTGGAAATGAGTCGAGTCGAGTCGAACTCACCTCAGCTCGGCTCGACTCGTTAAGAATTTTTTGAATTCGAGTTCGAGTTCGAGTTCGACACGGACTTTTTTTTAAGCTCAAACTCGACTCGTTATAAGTTCACGAACAGTTCGGTTCGACTCGTTAGGTTCATCTCATTAGGTTCATCTCACGTGGTTCACGAACTTAAAAACTATTTTTTTAAATATATATATTTTTTAGTATGTTTGACATTTTAAATAAATATATATTTTTTAAATAAAATATTAAAATAAAATAAAAGTTATCATATTGAAATTTAACTTTATCTTCGAAATCTACTAATTCAAAACCTACACAACTTTAAAGAGATACATTTGAGAGTCTAATTCAAAAACTACTAAATTTAAGATTAAATTTGTCTAAGATTTAAAGTAAATATTTAAACCTAATCTTAAAGACAGTATAATTCTTTTCATATGTAATCGAGTTGACTCATGAACCTAACGAGTCGAACTATGTATAGTTCAAGTTCAGCTCATTTAGTTAACGAACTTAATTTTTCGCTCATACTCAACTCATTTGGTTCATGAACCTAGTTCAACGATTTAATTGTCGAGTCGAATTCCGAACTATCTTCGAGTTGGTTTGGTTCATTGCCAGCCCTAACTACCGGTATTATTCAATTCTTCCTACTACTTGTATCTTAAGTTTCTATTTTTTTAATTAAATGATATCTTAACTTTTTGAATCAACGTTATAGTCTCTCATGTTTTATAATAAAAAAAATGTAATTTAAGTTGATCGTCAAGGGTACATAATTAATTATTATAAAATTTTTAATTTAATTTATATGAAAATAAACGGGTATGGTACAGATACCCTCAAAATTACCCATAACTGGTAGGGTAAAAATCCACCAAAATTACCTGCAATGAATAGTGTAAAACTCCCTTAAAATTATAAATATTTTTATATATGAAAATGAGTTACAGATATTTTTATAAATAAAAATAAGTTATAAATATTTTTATAAACAGAAATAAGTTGCAAATATTTTTATATATATGAGAATGAGTTACAAATATTTTTATATATGAGAATGAGTTACAAATATTTTTATAAACGAGAATAAGATCCAAATATCTTTATAAACAGAAATAAGTTACAAATATTTTTATAAAAAGAAGTAAATTATAAATATTTTTAATATAAATGTTTGTTTATTTCTTAACTCTAAAATAATTTTTTTTTATTTTTTTAAAATGTTATTAAAAATTTAAAATAACTTGATAAATTATAATTAATTAATAATTTTTTATTATAAATGCGGGTAAACGAGTATGTGTATGAATACTTGGGTATCTCTATAGGATATGGGTACAAATGTTGGTTCTCACTCAAGTATGGGTTCGAGTATTCTATTTATTTGTCAATCATCATTTAAAATATTTTTTCGACATTATGCGACTCGTGCGAACGCACGGGTAGATAACTACTTTGTTATTTTCTTTTAATACAATCATGTTACAAAATCATCAATACTAATTTAATTATATATATATATATATATATATATATATATATATATATATATATATATATATATATATATATATATATATATATATATATATATATATATATATATATATATATATATATATATATATATATATATATATATATATTTTAACCACAACTATCTAATATTTATTTAATATTTATATAGGCATTCCATCATCCGCGCGAACGCTTGGAGTAAAGTTTCATTTAAAGTTTTAAATATTTGATCTTAATCTAAAATATGCTACGTGGTGTGAATGCAATGAATAGTGGTCCCGCATTTTTAAACTGTATTAAACATAATCATAAGAGCTTTCACAGTACTCAGAAAACAATATCATGTTTTCGAAATTAAATACATAGGACATTGATGACTTTTTGAATGAAAAATATTATTTGAGAAAAAGAATGATGCACTTATAATATAAATTAGTGTAATGTTAACTTGTGCCCTTGGGGCACATGTTAAGAAAATCACTTATAGTAAATTTGCATTAGAAAAAATGATTTAAAAATTAATTTTATACTTTAATTAAAGTTTATACACAATTTCCAAGATAATGTTTCTTAATTTAGTTCTTAACATGTGTCTCAAGGGCACAAGTTAACATTATCCTATAAATTAATTTATTTTGTAAATTAATAATGATTATGCATCTTACCAAATTAAATTTAAAAATTTAAATTATTTATATTACATGACATAACAATATTTTTTTATTGAATGATTGTAAAAAAAATTTATATAAGCTATTTTTATAGTGTCATTTAATGACAATAAATTCCACCACATCATGTTAATATTTTTTAAAAAAATTAATGAGATGACAAACTGTTAATGTTTTATTAAATAATAATATAAAATTATTTTATAATGTTAATGTATATCAATTAAACTTCTCTATTGAATTCTTATTATTTTATTTTATTATTTCATAAAACAGTCCAGGTATAGGGTGTTTCCCTCTTTAAAAGTCATTTAACCCATTTTCGAAATATAACCACATAAAAAAACCTTACCTATATTACGAACAACGATAGGGCAGGACCACGCGCAGCCATTGAGTAAGAGACACAGAGTCATCCATGAATAGTTCTCACATACTAGAATCCGTGAATAGGAAGGAAGAACCGTGTAAAACTCGACAACACATTATTCTCAATTTCATTAGTATCTATCACACTGAAATTATCTCTCTCATTATTATTTAAAATCAAAAGATTCCATTTTCAATTAATTTACCTCTGCTGAACCACAGCACAATTCTAATATTTCACAATCGACTTTTTTTCAATGGACCCATATCCTTCGCAATCTGTCTAAGCACAAACTTCTGAACCTTCCCCGTAGAGGTTTTTGGAAGCTCCTCCTTGAACACCACCGTTTTCGGAACCATATAATGCGGCAAATTCTTTCTACAGTACTCAACTATATCTTTCTCCGTCGGTATTTCGCTTTCTTTTAACCCATCTTTCAAACTCACAAAAGCACACGGCGTTTCCCCCCAAAACTCATCAGCTCTCGCCACAACCGCCGCTTCATTCACCGCCGGATGTCCATACAAAACGGACTCAACCTCTACACTACTCAGATTCTCACCGCCGCTAATAATCACATCCTTCGACCTATCTTTAATCTCCAAATACCCATCCTCGTGCATCACACCAACATCACCGGTGTAAAACCAACCATTCTTCATAGCACTCGCGGTTCCTTCGGGATCCTTCAAATACCCTAACATAACACAACCACCTCTCATAACAACCTCCCCTAAAGTTACTCCGTCGCGTTTCACACTTTCACCGGTGGGACTCACCACATCAACTCTAGTTAATCCAATCGTCCTCACTCCTTGCCGTGACTTCAACCTTGCTCTCTCCTTCGCAGGTAACAAATTCCATTTCTTCTTCCACGTGCAACAAACAATCAACCCGCCGGTTTCAGTTAATCCATACCCGTGACTCACCGTAAACCCTAACGACTCCGTGCGGAAGAGAACCGCAGCTGGAGGCGGTGCGCCGGCGGTGAGAATATGAACTGGTTTCTCTAACGGTTTATTATCCGGTGAGTTAGTTAGCATGTTGAGAACAACCGGAGCACCGCACATATGAGTCACGTGATGCTTTTTGATCAGAGAGTAAACAATTTCAACGTCGAATTTTCTCACGCAGATGTTGGTTCCACCAACGGCTGCGATCCCCCACGGGAAGCTCCACCCGTTAGCGTGGAACATCGGTAACGTCCAGAGATAAACCGGTTGTTTAGGAACTGACCATTCGATTAAAGAATCGAGGGTCACGATGAAAGCTCCTCGGTGGGAATGAACTACACCTTTGGGAGACGACGTCGTTCCGGAAGTGTAGTTGAGAATCATCGGGTCCCACTCGGAAACAGGATGAACCCAGTTAAAATCTGGATCACCGTTCATTATTAGATCATCGTAAGTAGAGATGAAACCAACGGTAGATGATGCTGTTTCTTCATCGTCTTTGATGAGGATTAGAAGAGGACGTTGTTGCGAAGAAGGAAACAATAACAAAGCTTCGAGTACCAGATCACGTGTGGCGTAATCGACGAAAACGAGTTTAGACTCGGAGTGGATGAGGATATTGGAGACAATACGCGCGTCGAGGCGCGTGTTGATGTTGTTGAGGATTGCGCCGGCGAAGGGGACGGCGAAGTGGAGTTCATACATGGCGGGGATGTTGGGAGCGATGACGGAAACGACGTTTCCGCGGCGGATTCCGAGGGAGGTGATTGCGGAGGCGAGTTGGAGACATCGGCGGTGGGTTTGGGACCATGTGAAAACGGTGTCGTTGTAGATAATTGAAGGAACATCGTTGTAGATTGTTGATGCTCGTTCTAGAAAGGTGAGGGGTGTGAGAGGGGAGGTGTTTGCAGGGTTTGGTTTTAGTTTTTCCATTGACTTTGCTATAGAATGGGAAGAGGGAAGACGAAGGGTTGTAATTGTGAACGAATGAACGAACGAATGAATGATTAGAGGAACGTGTTGGAATAAAATAGATTATCTTCACGTGTATGGGATAAGATAGCTGACAAGAAGAAGATGGTTATTCCAGGAGCAAATGACGTGTAACTTTTCCAAACTTGACATTTTGTTAAACAGCATATCCAGTATCTTAACTTTTTTTGTGGGACAAAATTACATCATGTTAATTAGAAAATCCACATGCATTGTGGACCTAGTGATTCAGCATTGCATGACAATTTTAAAAATTAAGCAACCATCACTTTTATACATTTTTTATTCACACTTGATTTATTTTAAATTTAAATACGAATTTTACCTTTTGTCTTTGACTATGTAATAGGACGGGGATATGCATTCGTTAAACACAGGGTGACACGTTCATTTCACTAGTGCTAAAATGATGTTTGGAATTTGGATGAAAGAGATAGAAGCAATTCTTATCTTTAGATTTTTTTCTTAAAATGAAAAGTTTTCTCTATCCAACAATACTACAACTCATTAGCCCATGATATATCTGTTTCAATTAGCTTTTACCATGATATATATGTTTTAATTAGCTTTTACTTAATTGTCCCATTACAAATTAATAAAAAATCATGTAAATGTGATCTTCTTTTAATATGATATTATCCTTATTTTAAACATTATTTTTAATTTTAATCTTTTTTGGAAAAAAAATAATAGCTCATAAATATAACCATAAATACAAATAATTTCTAAGTACATTTATTACTTTTTAAAAATATATTTTTAAAGAATATTTTTAATTTATTTTAAAATATATTGAAAAATGAATAGTGAACATGTATAAAAATAAACTTAATAATCATGTACAATGGTGATACAAAGCTTTATTAATGAATGCTGAAATACATATTATTGATTTTTATAAAGACAAAAATATTGTCATTCATCTTAATGACTATTATACTCAATTTGTAATTAAATCATAAAATTTAAGTTAAATAATTATTTTTATGATTATATTTCAAATTTATATTACAATTTAAATTATATTACTATTTGTAATTTTAGTTACTCCCTTATATTTAATGTATTTAACTATTGCTAATTTAATATTTTTAAAGTATAATTATATTTAATTATTGAATTATATTATTAGTAAGTTAGTTTTATGTTTTATAAAAATAAGTTAGTCTTATCTTATGCTTTGCAATTTCACTATTTGGCTTTAGTTTCATCTTGTTGATTCATCTCACATCAATTGACTTTTTGATTGACTTTTTGATAAGCTTTTAGGTCTCGTTCATCTCGATTCCCTTGAGTTTTTCTGATATGGTTGCTAACAAATTTGAATAATTCATGGCTTGATCCAAATTGGTTAGTTCTGACCCAAATATCGTCATAACTTCTTTTATAAAGTCATTATTTGCATCGACTACTTGATATAGAAATCTCTTATATCTAACTAGCCTTGTCGACTCAGTTCTTGTTTTATTCATTAATCTTCTAACATTCTGCTCGGGTGGTTCTTCATTTCGATTGGTTGTAACTTTAATTCATTGGTCTTATTCAAACACAATTGTGACTATATCTGCCTTATGTCGAACTGACTCATTACTCCAATCCCACCCTTTGCCTTCATAAAATAGAACGTCCTTATTAATCACAAGCTTATCATCATTTGGTGGATACAACTTGTATGCATCAATCAAATGATAACCTACGAACACCATGGTCTAATTTCGATCATCTAACTTCTTCCTCAATTGTTCAGGTACATGCGTGAAACACATTGATCCAAATATTGTAAGATGACTAAAATTTGGCTTCAGTTCTGTCCAAGCCTCATGAGGTGTCTTTTCCACTATCTTCTTGGTTGGACATCTGTTTAGAATGTACAATGTTGTCAAAGTTATTTCACCCCAAAATTTCTTTGGCATGTCTTTAGATTTCAACATGCTCCTTTCAATATCCAGTATACTTATATTTCTCCTTTCAATTACACTATTATGTTAAGGTGTATAGGTTCAATGAATCCATGCTTTATACCTTCATAAGTGAAAAATATTACAAATTCTCTAGAGGTGTATTCACCACCACCATCAGTTCTTAATTTCTTTAACTTGCATCCACTTTATTTTTCGACATGAAACTTAAAATTATTGAATTGTGTGAATGCCTAAATCTTCCTTTCAATAAGATAAATCCACATATATCTAGTGAATTCATATATGAAAGTTAGGAAGTAAAAGTTACCTTCATTCGAACTTTCCTTAAAAGGTCCACACACATCAGAGTGAGCAAGCTCCAACTTTTCTCTCAACTTCATTAACAAGTCATGTTTGAAAGCTTTCTTAGTCTGCTTTGCTTTGCAACATTCCTCACACTCTTGACTTAGAATCTTCACTTGAGGTAAGCCATACACCATCTTCTTTTGTTGAGCATACTTATACCTCTTAAGTTTAGGTGTTCATACCTGTGATGCCATAGCCAATTATTATCTTTGATAGTAGTCAAAGAAAGACACTGATAATCATCCATGTTGATCTCAATCTTCAAGGTTTTATTATCTGCTAATTGTGCTTTTAGGATCATCCTTCCTTCACCATTATACACCTTCATCAGATTTTCTTCCAACTTCATGTTATACCCTTCAACAAATAACTGACCCATGCTTATCAAATTAATTTTCATTAAAGTTACATACAATATGTCATTTATGCTGGCCCTCTGGCCATTTCTTCTCAACACAACTATGTTTCTTCTTCCCTCTGATGTGACATTCCTTCCTTCTGCAAACTTGATCACTTTCTTGATTGATTCATCTAACTTGTTAAACTAGTTTTTATTACCAGTCATGTGGTTGTTGCATCTTATATCTTGATGCCACATATGGGTTTTTGTAGTTGCATGTCCTTAATTCATTCAGGGGGAGCACTTAAATCTCATTATTTTGTGCTTGTCTTATTGCTTTCATCTTTGATTTTATTTCAATTTATTGAGTCTCCTTCATTATTGCACTTCTAAAAATCAAGTTTGAAAATATTTGTTTTTAGCATGCATAAACGATTAGTTTAGTTTGATCTTGATCATGATGCTTTTTGATCAATTGCATGAGTAAGTGGAATAAAAACATGTTATGGTTTTGGTTTGAGTTTGACTCAAAGTAAAATCTCAAAGCACTTTTGAAACTATGAAAATTTGAGATTTTATGTGTTTAATTTGAATCATGGAAATTAAACACATTTTATGATTCAAATCAAATTGGACAAAGAACAAACTATAACTTTCAAATAATTTGATTCAAATCATTTTTTGCACATGATTTAAATCATTTTTTACACATGATTTAAAGCAAGGCTCGTTCTACACATTACAAAAGTTTGAATGAGAGGAAGGGAAAGCAACAAGCTAGAAGTGGACCTTATGTGACACCTGTTGATAAGGGCAAGCATAGGGGAAACTTCAATAAGAGATCTGGAGGAGGAGGTTTCGGTTCCGTTAAGTGTTACAAGTGTGGTGAAATGGGTCATAAATCATTTGAGTGTGGAAAGACCGTAGTGAAATGTTCTAACTGTGGAGGCCTTGGGCATGCTACTACAGATTGTAGGAGGAATGTAGTGAAGTGCTATAATTGTGGAGAAGTGGGTCACATTAGTACTAGATGTACTAAGCCAAAACAAGCTCAAGCGGGCGGAAAGGTGTTTGCATTAGCTGGGTCAGACACTACTAGTGCAAATCGTTTGATTAAAGGTACATGCTTTATTAATAGTACTCCTTTAGTTTCTATTATTGATACTGGAGCGACTCATTCGTTTATTTCTCATGAGTGCGTTAAGCGTTTGAATTTGTTCGTGACTTCTTGGGGTAGTGAGATGGTTATTGAGACTCCTGCTTCGGGGTCGGTAACTACATCTTTGGTGTGTGTAAGTTGTCCTTTGACCATGTATGGTAAAGACTTCGTCATGGATTTAGCGTGTTCGCCGTTGGAGGGATTGGACGTAATCTTGGGTATGAACGGGTTGCAATTTAATAGAATTCATATAGATTGCTATCACAAGTTGGTGAGGTTTCCTTCTTTGGAAGATGATGAAGATGAGAGTTTCCTATCCACTAAAGAGTTGAAGAAACTTTTAGCAGACGAAGCTCAATTGTTCGGTTTGTTTGCATCATTGTCGGTGGAGAGTAAAGTTGAGCTCGATGTGTTCCTAGTGGCTTTGGGTTCTAAGCTAAGATTGAGTTCGGCTTATCATCAGCAAACAGATGGTCAAACCGAGAGGACAATTCAATCGTTGGAGGATTTATTGCGTGCTTGTGTGCTCGAGCAAGGTGGTGCTTGGGATAGTTATTTGGCTTTGATTGAGTTCACCTACAATAACAGTTTTCATTCCAGTATAGGTATGGCGCCATTTGAGGCTTTGTATGGTCGAAGATTTCGAACACCTTTGTGTTGGCATGAAATCGGTGAGAGGTCGATAGTTGGACCGTAGATGGTACAACAGACGACAGAGAAAGTGAAGTTTATTCGGGAAAAGATGAAAGCTTCTCAAAGTAGACAAAAGAGCTATCATGACAAGAGAAGGAAAGATCTTGAGTTTCAAGAAGGCAACCATGTGTTTTTGAGAGTTACGCCGGTTACGGGTGTGGGTCATGCTTTGAAGTCGAGGAAGTTGACTTCTCGTTTTATTAGTCCGTATCAGATTACTGCACGAGTTGGTGTTGTGGCTTATCGTGTGGCATTGCCTCCAAATCTTTCGAATTTGCATGATGTATTCCATGTTTCGCAACTTCGAAAGTATGTTTCGGATCCATCACATGTTATTCCTATGGACGAGGTTGAAGTGAGAGATAACCTTATGACTGAAGCTTTACCGATTAGGATTTTGGACCGTGAAGTTAAGAAGCTAAGAGGCAAGGATATTGCGCTTGTGAAAGTAGCGTGGGGAGGCGCTTCGGAAGGCAATATG